TTTGACTTTAAACAGGGCTCAAGGTCACTGGAGAACAGCAAAGACAATAGCAGAAAGGAACAATAGCTTTTCCGAGTGCCTGTGGAAACATCAAGGCTGAGAGGGAGAAATGGACTTGGCTCTGTAGTAGACGACTGCACAGCCACAGAGCATAGGGGAAGGATGAAGCTTTGTGGGAAAAATTGGGACAGTGACTTGCTCTACCTTCTCTCCTTTTTGTTCTCTGGCTCATGGGAATAAGTTGGGTGAGGATGGAGGGAGGCATGTTTTCATGGGAAGATATGGATGTGGTGGAAACCTCGATTGAGGCTCTGGCTGAACCCAGTCATGGGGACCCACGTAACTGAGGGGAAGTAGGTCAGGCATGACTCTTCCTGTTTGTCCAGAAGATGCCATGGGACTGGCAAGTACACCAGATCTGCTATCCTTGGGAATCAGTCAGGACCAGCCTCTCTCTCAAATGCTCAGGGAGTTTAGAATTCCATAGATGCCTCAGGAGTGATTATGTCATCCTAGAAGCTTCTGACACAAGGGTGAGTTGGGTGGTGGATCAGTGCTCATTAGGTAAGCAAGGCTGTCCCTCTGAAACTCTCACTGGTTTCTCTGAACCTAGAGGTAGAGCTTCTGCTGTTCCAGGGAGTTCAGGTATCCCTTAGTCTGGTTCTGGTGACTCAAGAGAAGTTTGGAGGTCATTTCCCCCCTTGGCAGTGTCTCCTATTCATAGCTCACCTCCACTGAGACATCAGGCAAGATTTATCCTGCCCCATCTTGCCAAGAGACCCGTGCCACAGACTTATTTCACTTAAGTGGAGACTCTTCACCAAGTCATGGGATCATGCCAAATATAAGTAACTTGTTATACAAACCCCTGAAGCTGAACTCTGACCCCTCAATGCCATTCAAAATGCTGCTGGCATTGATGGCCAGCTGAAACACTCTGTGACAGCCTAACCACACCTTCAGGTCTGTCTCCTTTGTGCTTCTCTAAAACCTCAACAATCCACATGGTTGTTCCCTTCCTCCAGCCTTCCCCTGGTATTCACATCATGTGTCTGAGTTGTGATTTAGTTTTTTACTTAATGTTGGGTCCATCAGGACTTTCCCTTTGAATTGGAGGGGAGGCTGCCATGTAGGTTCTCCCCTTCTCTGCTGACAGCAACTCTCCTGGCCCAGTAAGACCAGTGCCTCTTGGACAACTCCCAGTGGGCACAGAGCTGGCACACACATGAAGAAAGTCCACAGTGACTTGAGAGGTTCATTCAATAGAAGGGAATGAGTTTTACTGCTGCCAGATGGACATAGTCAAAGGCCAGAGCTACAAGGAGGCCAAGGAAGGCCCAGGATGGAAATGTTGTCATGGTAAAGTGACGAGGGAGTCCTGGGCTCTGAGGAAGGCCATCCAAAGATGCCAACCCCAACAATGGTTGAGGGCTTCCTGCAGGAACCAGATCCTCTGCCTCTGGAAACACAGAGAAAGGACTTCAGCTTGGCCATGAGCTCTAACTTCTATCCTCACACCCCAAACCTAGTCAACTGCTCTAGATCACTCAGTAAGGAAGCTCCCATTCTGCTGGAGGCCTTTGGGTACCATATTCCCTTGGCCTGGAACATTCACTGTCTTTCTCACCATCCATACCTTGGTTCACTGGGCGCCACTGCTTTCAGGTGAGCAATGACTCTGTTTTAAAGTTCACTTCTGACCAGGGAGGAAGCCCTCAACTTGCTTGCATTGTGTTCTCCCTGGTATTTAGTCTGTTGCTCCTCATGGTGGGGTTCCCAAAACTGATGCTGCATTCCCTGAATGCCTGTTGAAAACAAGGGTGGACACACACTATTATGTACCCAACACCTGTGTTTGTCCAGTGGGGATGGCATTGCTGAGTCGAGGGGTGATCTAAGAGAAGAAGGGAGATGAAGTAGACCCTCATACTACAGAACTCTACAAGATCAACAAGGAATTTTGCCATGAGTTCTGGTAGAAACTCTGCAAATCCAAAGATGCTTAGGCAGAAAACATGGGGTATTGCTAGAATCTTGGAAAAGGATTAATGGGGACGCTGGCCACTGTATTCCAAGGCCTCTATTCAGCTGAAGAGGATGTTTTGGGATTTGATGTGGGTAGTGGTGGCACAACATGATGAATATACCATTGCCACAGGTTGTACACTCTAAGTCAGCTAATTTCATGTTATATTGTTATCATCTAAAAAATTTGAAGCAAAGAGAAGTGTTTAAATGTCCCTAAATCCATAAGGAGGACCTAAGGATTGGAGAGAGCAATGATGTTGAAGTTTTCTAAGAGATAACTGTTATGCATAGATCCAGTGGGCACTGCCACTTTGACCCCAGCTTCCCTAGTCATGCAGGGGTCAGAGAGGAGAAGACATATATTGGAGGTAGAACTAGGATTTGAACCCAAGTCTGTTTGACTCCTAAATTCATATTTCCTCCAAAAGGTAGGCCTGCCCTCAGGGTAAACCTGGTAGTGGGGAGCCTGAGCATAACCAATTTGGGGACTACCTGCAGAATACAATGTTGCAAATCCAAATATGAATTCTTGGAAGGGGCCCTGTAAGGGAGGGAGGGACATGGAAGCTTAGGTTTTGTAGTTTCCCAGCAAATGAATTTCTTTCACTACAACTTAGATTTCATAAGCTGCCCCAAGGCTTTGAGGCAGTTTGGTGGCCTCCTCCCTGAGGCCATGGCTTCCTGGATCCCTACATCCTACTCCATCCCATCCCCATATGGTACCATGAGGCATCCATGTCCTGCCTGCAGCTTCACATTCACTATACCTACACCAGGCCTCCTCAGAGAACTCCAGGCCTCAGTCAGTCCCACACTTTCCAACACAGAAATTGTGCCCTGTGGTGTTGCAGTCCCCAGGCCTCCTCTTTTGCACACGGCAGCTGTCTACTGTTGGGTGCCTGTCAGCTGGCAGCATTGCTGGGGGCTGAAAAGGACCCCTGCAGCCCCACATCAGTGTCAAGAGCATTGCTCAGTGAGTGAATGAAGGAGAGGAGAGGCTGCAGAGGAGATGAGTGTGGGGACTGCCGAGAATGAATCTTACCCAGACCGGTAAAGCTGGGCAGAGAGAAGCCCAGCTGGGAAGCACCTTGTTGCTGAGCCAGGGAACCTCATCTGTTATCTGTGATGAGAGCCCAAGGTTAGCGGCACAGTGCTCAGACTCCTGGGTGTGGGAGAGCACTGGGGTGGACCTCAGAGAGACCTGGGTGGGCTTTGTGAGAGATGCTGTGACCTGAGGTGCCAAGCGTCCTAGGGTAGGAGCCAGGCGCTGGTCCAGATCCTGATGACACTCACCCCACAAGTTCGTTTCCCAGTCTTCATGAAGGTGCATGGACTTGGGCTCCCTGCTTGGTCATAGCCCAGCACCTTGCCCTTGGGATTTCTGATTATGAAACATTCATGAATCTGCCAATGAGGTGGCCACCCATATTGGCTGCCCACAGGTGAGCAGACCCAGTCTCTCCTGAATGCCAGCTGGAGGCTGAGGGCTGACACTTCTCTGGACACTTTCAGCATTGGGAAAACCAGGGAGTAGACGGGTGCATGATTGAAGGACTCAGTGTTGAATGGAGTCCCACAATATTTTAGGGACCTGAAAGCACACTGTCCTGTGTGCTTGGCCTTTTGCCTTCCTGCCGACTAATACTTAGCACTAGAGAAAGTAGCCTTCACTGAAGCTGGACCTTGATGGGGGCTCAAAGTGCTGGGGAGAAGAGTTCTGATTTCATGAGGTGTCATGTACGAGTACCCATAAATTCAGAGAGCCCATAATATTGTAAGGAGGTTGGAGGCTGTGAAGTCAGAATTTTTTGCTATGACTAAAATATCTGACAAGAACAATTTAGAGTAGATAAGAGTTATTTTGGCTCATGTTTTCAGATGGTCCAGAGAGTGGTCATCTGGTTCTAAGTTATCAATAAGATGGTGAAGGGTCATGACAGAAGTAAGGTGCTAAGCTCCAGGCAGCTGGATGCTAAACTCCAAGGGGTGGAATAAAGACAAACCCCTCTAGGGCATGCCTTCAGTGACCTACTTCCTATTACTAGGTCCCACCTCCCAGAAGTTCAATCAGCTATTAATGGTTTAGTCCACTGATAATTCCAGAGACCTCATGAACCTAAAGTCCTACTCCAAACCTTGCTGTACTGGGGACTATGTTTTCCACACATGAGCTTTTGGGGAACATTCCAGATTTAAACTTCACTATCTGCCACCCCCCACCCCCAAAGGCTCCATTTAATGGACTAATCCATTGATAGATGAATGGACTACTGGGAGGTGGATCCTAGATGGAGGAAGTAGGTCACTAGGGGCGTGGTGGGAAGGGGTTTTATTCGCCCAGGCCAATCTTCTGTCCCTGTCTCTCATCCTGACCCTCTATCAGTTTCCTGACTGCTTTGAATTCATCAGCATTCCTCTGCCACGAACTTCTACCTTGATGTTTCTCCCTGGAGCCAGCTGACAAAGGACTGAACCTTAAAACTGTAAGCCAAAATAAATCTTTCCTTATCTAGTTGTTGTCAGGTATTTTGGTTACAAAATGAAAAACTGACTCACACAGAGGGGTGGTGAGGACTGTATATATCAGGGCTTTTTTAAAAAAATATTTTTTAGTTATAGCTGGACCCAATTTTATGGTATTCATTTATTTTTGTGATGCTGAGGATTGAACCCAGGGTCTTACATGTGCTAGACCAGTTCTGTATCGCTGAGCCACAACCCCAGCTCTCTATCAGTACTTTATATAAGTCATTCTATTAAATTTCAAAACAACCATAGAAGGCTGGGTTCCAAGCAGGTGTTTCTGATCCTACAACTCCTCCCAGTGGTGGTGGCCTGCTTCTTTTTGGGCCAAGGTAAAGACACACACTTGAGCTGTCTCCTAAGATCTATGGAGGCCAGAGATACCCACATGGATTCTGCTCTCTCTTCCAGGGCTGAAGGGAAGGCGTGCGTGAAGGTTACTTGTGGAAACTGCAGACACAAGAAGTCTCCCCATGGCAACTCATCACATCCGCAAATACCAGGAGACTGACCACAAAAGGGTCCTGGACTTGTTTTCCAAAGGGATGATCGAACATGTCCCTGCCACCTTTCGCCACATGCTGAAGTTGCCACAAACATTCCTGCTCTTACTTGGGGTGCCTGTCACCCTACTCCTGGCCTCTGGCTCTTGGCTCCTGGCTCTTGTATCCGATGTCACACTCCTTGTTTTCCTATGGATGCTGGCCAGACACCCTTGGAGGCAGTACGTAGTCGAGTGTTTGCAGACAGACCTTGCTGACGTCACCAAATCCTACCTGAGGGCCCGTGATTCCTGCTTCTGGGTGGCTGAGTCTGGGGGCCAGGTGGCAGGCATAGTGGGTGCTCTGCCAGTGAAGGATGCCCACCCAGGGAGGAAGCAACTGCAGCTGTTTCACCTCTCTGTGGCCTTGGAGCACCGAGGTGAAGGACTAGGGAAAGCCCTGGTCATGACTGTCCTCCAGTTTGCGAGGACTCAGGGCTACAGTGAGGTTGTCCTTGATACTACCATTGTACAGGAGACTGCTCTGACCCTCTACCTGCGCATGGGCTTCCAGAAGACAGGAGAGTACTTCTTTGACAAGGTCTTTAGACTACTGGGCATTTATACAATTCATTTAACTTACTTCTTCCCATCTGCGCAGGAGGGAAGCCTGTGAGCTATTGTCTTGTGTATCAGTCAGGATCTGATTGACAATTCTGTAGCTTCTATTCCATTCAGTGCTTCTAGGTGACCATGATTCAGGTGTCTAGCACCATAGTAATGCTGTATTAATAAAAAGCCAAACAATACTGCGCACACACATTGCTTATAAGTCTGTTGGCCAGTCGTTGTTCCTGGTCTGTGCTGAGCAGCTCTCTGGGTCTCAGGATACCTGTGGGGATATCCTGAATTGACTGCAGTGCCCATGACATGTATGTCATCTTGTCCCAGCAGGCCAGTTCAGGCAGGGTTCAAAGTCACTGAAGAGCAGCAAATGAAAAATGGGAAAGGAACAAAGACTTCTCCATTGCCACACAGGTATTGGTTGTGGAAACATCTAGACCGGGGAGAAATGGAGCTGGCTCAGAAATGGAGGAGCTTCAGAGTCCAGAGCAGAAGGGCACGAAGTGGCTCTATGGGAAGAATTGGGCAGCAATGTACTCACTGTAGTGCCCTGTCCCTGAAGAGGGGTGGGAAGGTGGCTGTGGATGGAGGGGGATGTTTCCATGGGGAGACCTGGGTATGGTGCAGTCCTCCTGGTGCTTCCAGGGCCCAATCCCATGGGCTAGGCTCACTGAGGGGAGGTTGTGGGTGGAGCCCTCTTGTGGGTCCTGGAGGAGGACGTGGACAGGTGGGTGTCCCAAAATTATCCTGGATTAGCACTCAGCCTGGTCCCAGACTCTGTCCCCAGGTGTTCACAAACTCCAGATTTGAGCCTCAGGAAAGATTCCCTGCTGTAGATGGGAGAGTTGGGACATGAGTCAGTATTGATGTTCACAGGACTGTCACCTTTTCCCAGCTGCTTGAGCTGTGACTCTGGCATGTTCCTGGGGTTCTGGAGCCACATACTTGGTCTCCCTCACCAAGAGGCAGAGCTCCTGACCAGAGAGTCCACGTGATACTGATCCATAAATTTCACCCCTTAGGCAGTGTTAGGGGGTCTTTCTTACCTTAGTTTCTACTTCTCAGCATTGTGGGGACACCTGGGCCACAGCTTGTGCAGTTTTGGGATTCAGCCTTGGCCTTCGCCCATTTCACCTACATGGAAACCCTTAACCACGCTCATGGGATTTGTCCAAACTTGAGAGAAAAGTTGTCTAGGACCAAAGGACTCAACCTCCTGTCACGATTTTCTTCTGCCCTTGGCCTTGATAACCAAACCTAGTAGCCTTGACCGGCCCATCCTGTTCCTTCAGGCTGCCTCATTTGGGCCTTGATGAAATCAACAATGTATGCACCTGTTCTTCTGACCCTCCCCACTTTTGTCAACCTGCCATTCACATCAGGTATCTCTTGTCTCCTGAGCTATGTTCTCAACTTCTCGCTTAAAGTGGTCCCACAAGGCAGGCCCTATGTGACAGGGAGGAGGCCCTGCAGGCTCTCCCTGCTCTGGTGCCATCAGCTCTCCTTGCCCAACGAGGTTCAATGCCTTAAAGAGCAGTTCCCAGTGGCAGAGGACTGGGAAACAAAAGAAGAGGTCCTCAGTGGTCCCTGTGCTTTGAAATTTCTTTCAATAGCAGGGAAACCCTGTACTCATCCCAGGCAGAGATGGTCATACCCTGCTGGGGCTTAAAGGCCAGAGGGACAGGAGGCCAAGGAAGGTGCCAGGATTGAAGTACTGTGATGATAAGGTGATGGAGAGTCCAGGGTACTGGGGAAGGCCGTCCCAACAATGTGGAGGCTTCCCTAGGGGCTGAGAGATTCAGAGCCTAGAGTCAGCTTGCCTTCCTCTTTCCCTGTCCCTGACCTCAGTTCCCAAACAGCCAACTGCTCTGGTTAGCTCCAAAAGGAAGCTCTCATTCTGCTAGAGGTCTTTGAGCATTGTTCCCTGGCCTGGAACATTCTTAACTCTTCACACACCCATACCTCTGTTTGCTCAGTACCGCTGCTTTCAGGCAATGGACAGGGTTGATTGTCTTGGAAAGGTAATTCTGACCAGGGAGGAAGCCCTTTACCTGTTTGCATTCTGGCCCTCCTTGCTCCTAAAGGTGGTATCCCCAAACCAGCTTCCCTGTTCCCTGGATGCCTGTTGAAAACAAGAGTAGACAAAAGTCCCTCACGTCCTCAGAACCTGTGATTGTGCATTGGAGAGGCTTTTCTTGGTCAGAAGTGGGCTGAGGGGAATAGGGAGATGGAGCAGAGCCTCAGTGGGGCACTCTACAGGATAAGCAGGAAATACTGCCACAAGGTCTGAGAGAAATGTACAAATCCAAAAGAGGTTTTGCAGTCAGCTTAGGGTGTGGCTAGCATTATGGAGAAGGGACAATGGTAAGCAATGGCTGCTGGAGCATTAGGACCCTCTTGGACTGATGGGAATGTTTTGAGATTTGATAAAGATGGCAGTGGTAGAAAATCAGGAATATTAACAAATCTTGGAAACTTTTACACTCTTACATGACTTAATTTTATTAGACTTCATCCAAAATAGTAAAAGAGTTTGGATGAGTCAAGACTCTCAAGGAGCAGATAACAGTTAGAGGGAGCAATGATGTTAAGGGGAAGGGGTTTTCTTAGGGAGAGAGTGGCTATTGTGCCTAGTGTCAGTGGGTGCTGCCACTTTGACCCCAGATTCACATGTTAGGCAAAGGAGTCAGAAAGGTGAAGACAGACTAGATGTGGAACTAGGATTTGAACCCTTGTCTGTTTGACTCCAAAATCCATAATTCCATCTATAGGCAGGCCTGCCTTTACAGCCAATCTGGTTGTGGGGAACCTAAAGAATACACATTTACAGCCTACCTGTGGGACAAAACATTGCAACTCCAAGTAGGAAATCTGGGAAAAGCCTTTGCAAGGGAAGAAGGGATTTTGAAGATTAAGCTTAGCAGTTTCACTCTAAATTTGTCTCCTCCCAGTGTCTGTGCTACTTGGAATACTGAAGCTGCCTGTTGTTGAATCATTTAGCACACATTCACTGAGCACCTCCTAGAGGCCAGGTTTGTTCTGGGAACTTAAGATACATCAGTAAACCCAAAATAAAATGTTCCCTGCTTGGTAGCACTTACTAAATAATAGAAGAGAAAATACATACCCATAGCATTTTGAGTGTGCTGGATGATAATGAGCAAACCTGGAATTAGGGGCGAGGATGGGAGTGGGCAGGTGGCTAGGGGTGAATTGCAGTTCTTAGTAGGGTGTTTTAAGTATGAAAAGTTGAGAAGGGGCCTTGCATAAGGGCTGTGGTGGGATAACCAGTACCCCCTCTAGAGGGTCAACTTGTAGGGGATTCTGGGGAGTCCATGCAGGCAGGTGACCACTGGCTCAGTAGATTGTTGTAAAGGTCTTGGGCAAGAATATCCAGGGAAAAGATGAGTCTCAGCATGAGCAACCTCTGGGGAGGTCTGGTCTTCCCTCCACAGCAGGACCACACCTCTGTGTGGCAAGAAGCCTTGTTGCTGATGTGCAACCACAGCAAGAACTGTGCAGCCCAGGGCTGGCTGAGGCGGGCAATGACCCCAGGCAGGGTGCTGCCCAGTGCTGTTGGATGGATACTGAGTGGAGAGGGGCTGAGATGCTGAGGTTACATGGGCAGAGGAGCTGAGGGCAGGCAGGGCCTAGGGCACAGACATCAGGGGAGGGGTTGCATCCAGAGCCTAAGTGCAGACCAGCTCAGCCTGAGAACCCAGGCCAGGCCCACCTCCTTTGTAGGGGCCCATTGATGGTTCCAGCTGTAGGTGGTCACATACACCAGAGCTTTGGCAGAACTCAGGCCCCTCTTTCTTCAGAGGCCTGAGTGTGTCCTCGGGGTGCCTGCCCAGCTGGAGTTTGCAAGGATGCATCTGGGAAACAGAAGCAGGCACAGATAGGCCACCTGGTCTGAGTAGTGAGGGCTGATCGGAGAACCATTACTCAGCAATGGCTTGAACCTGCCATTGGTCCTCTGCCTGGCCAGTATTCTGTCTTGTTCCTAAGCAGGGTTTGGCTGGGTGAAAGGCCTGTGTGTGAGGGGAAGTAAAAACATAACCCCAAAGCTTTAACCACAAGTGTCTGAGCAGTTTAGTGGCCTCTACCATGAAGGCCTTGCTTCTTAGGATCTTCCCTATCCATGACATCCCTATCTCCATCTGGTTCCTAAAGCAAGACTTCATATTTTTCCTCTCATTCACTTGAACCCCCACCAAGGGAAGTTCCCAAGCCCAAAGTCCCACAACTCTGCAAAGGAACACAGACACTGGAATTGCAGTCCCCAAGCCTACTCTCTTGGGATGCCAAACACCCATGAATCCCTTCTGGAAAGCACCCCTGAGTAGCCGGTGATGGCCAGCTATGGTCACTTTTGGTGCTGAACGGTGCAGGCTGGCCCTGAGCAAAGGGTACCTGGTACTGCCCAGGAGAGTCCAGAATGAAAGTGCTCTTTCCTGGCATGCACAAGGCACCTCAGAAAAAGTAACAGAAAAAAAGAAATGAGAGTGTTCCAGGTTCCTCTTCCCAAATATTGTGGAGCCTCAGGAAGGCTCTAAAAGCTTCTGCTATGGCTGAATTCGATGCCAGAAGGAAGGGATTGGGTGTTCTAATGCTGTTCCCTGCTGGGGAACTCCCCACTACCCTCCATCTGTGTGGCGTGAATGGGGAGGTTTGGTTGGTGTTATCTAAGGAGCCATCTGGGCCCACAGAGGCCCAGAAGACATGGTGGTGGCTTAGACCACATTGATGTGAACAAGACAGTGAGACCTGGGCCACTTGGAGGTACATTTGTGGGAGGGAGGCACAGAAATGGCAGGACACGGAATGATTCAAATTGGGATGAGCAGGAGGAAGGGGTGATAAATGACCACCAGGATTATAGCAAGAGGGTCTAAGAGGACAGTAGGCAGTAGGCAGACATAGAAAAAAGATCAGTAGTTGCCTGTGGGTGTTGCCTGCCACATCCACATGGAAAAGTAGATGCTGAGGGTGTCAGCTGGGACCAAGGGCCCCCAATGGAAGCTGTCGATTTTCCAGATGTTTGACTTGTGG